TGAACTTTTGGCCAATATTTCCGTGTGTGGATCGCGAGAAGTAACTCATTTTGTCAGCATGCTTCATATATATATATATATATATTGTGTGTGTGTGTGTAATTATATAATATTGTTGTGTATGTGTGTGTGTGTGTGTGTGTGTGTGTGTGTGTGTGTGTGTGTGTGTGTGTGTGTGTGTGTGTGTGTGTGTGTGTGTGTGTGTGCGAGTGCGTAATCTGAAATTAATGCATAGGCCTACGGTCAGGGTCTAGCACGTTGAACCCAGCAGCTGCCGGTCACATTTGAAGGTCAGTGATGAAGAGGCGTGTGACGGCCCTTTGTGCACAGGGGGGAAAATGCGCGGCACCGGCAGACAGCAGACCGATGTGTACCCAGATTTAGCACAGTCGATTTCGTTATCCTCTGTGGGCTATAAAATAAGTTAATCTTGACCCAAGAACCCAAACCCAAAGACAACTTGGACGTTAACTTTTTCAAGTAAATAATATACAAAAGTGTCATAACTTTCAAACATTATGTTTAGAAGTTCGTAAGTGTCGAGTTGGATTTTGTAATCACTATGCTATTTGAAATAAATTCCATGGTGCAATAGAACACATTGTATCCAGTGTCCATGTTTCTATTGTTTTCAAAGGTTGCTGACTGAATCACTTCTGACTTGACAGAAAAAAAATAGTATGGCATTTTTTGCTCTTTAGAGATGCTGATGATAAAAGTACGTTTTGTTGTCGGCATACTATCACAAATAATCTGGGAATTAAGTCACGGGAACTCTGTAAAATAACAGACGATTATATTTCTTGTTGGTATCGATACTACTAGTTGAAAAAAAGATTTTAACACTAACCACAAATCAAAGATCATTAGTATAGGATCTTTGGACAAGTCTTGTCAAAGCAATACAACTTACTAGTTTTGTTTAATTTGTGATTGCACTATTTTGTTACGTCTCAAGAAATTTGCTTTAGGTAGATCTACGTGAAACCCATTCTTCTTCTGTACAACAACAATAATATTATTATGTCAAAACTGAAATTAAATTGTAAAATCCTTTGAGAATGGTTGAGAACATTTTTGCACTGTTTTACAAAACTTTTGAAAATGATCAAGCATCAAGCTTTACAGCTTATAAATACCACTCTTGTAAGATGCACTTT